ACAAGGCTCGATCTCAAACAGGCTATGTGTTTACATGTGGAGGCACTGCAATATCTTGGCGATTGACTAAGTAATCAATCGTGACTACTTCATCTAATCATGCTGAGATAATTGCTATTCATGAAGCAAGTCGAGAATGTGTATGGTTGAGGTCTGTAATATACCTTATTCGAGACAAATGTGGTTTGAAGTGTGACAAACTACCCACAATTTTGTATGAAGACAATGCATCATGCATAGCTCAATTGAAGGGAGGATTCATAAAAGGAGATAGAACAAAGCACATTTCACCCAAATTATTTTTCACACATGATCTTCAAAAGAATGGTGATATCAGTGTGCAACAGATCCGTTCAAGTAATAATATGGCTGATTTGTTCACCAAATCTCTACCGACGTCAACCTTCAAGAAACTAGTGTACAAGATTAGGATGCGAATGCTCAAGAATGTGAATTGATGCTCTCATCTGGAGGAGTTAATACGCAGTGTACTCTTTTTCCCTTACAAGGTTTTGTCCCACTGGGTTTTCCTTGCAAGATTTTTAATGAGGCAACCAAAAAGCGTATTCCTAAACATGTGTACTCTTTTTCCTTCACTAGGATTTTTTTAATAAGGTTTTAACGAGGCACATTATCTATGGACATCCAAGGGGGAGTGTTATAAGAAATATCAAATTATGGTGGATGTCTACTCTTACTCCATGATCTTTATCTCAAATGCTTAATGACATATTCAATGACATATTTTCTATGTTTAATGACATATTCAATGACATATTTTTTTCACTTTTCTTACCTATATAAAGGCCTTGTAATAGATAGGAAAATACACACAATTGAAGAAGAAATAAGAATCTCTTCTATCTTTCTCCATATATTTCTTAGCTTATTTTTTCTTATTTCATATTGTTACTTTGAATTATATTTTATAACAGAACCAAACTAATTTTGGCGGAGAAAAACTAATACTATAAGCTAAATAGAGGGGGGCAATTATAAAGACATTTACCGGTCCATTACCACTATTTGCAAATTTTAAGTAATTTAATATGGCCACTAAATTTTCATTTAAATGTATATGCCTATGGCCACAAATAAAATAGCAGTACAAAAGATGCTGGACAAGTGTTTCTTGTCTTCATTCACAATTCACTAGCTGTTGCCTAATCTTCTGGACTACTAGTACATTTATATGTTCAATCTTTTCTGAAACCCATTTCATTATAAGTCCTTCTCAATTTCCACCTACCACCAATTCTTTGGCTTCATATTAGTCTAGTCTTGGTTTTTTGACTCTGATTTGGTAAGTAGTACTACCATTCTTGAAAAAAGTTTCAACCTTTTGTAAATTAGTTAGCTGATTATTTTCTTAGTAAGTGTTTGTAGTTTGTATTTTCAGCTGAATATGTTTGAATTGGGTAATTCATATCTTGGTTTGTTTCTTTTTCTATTACACTTTTCTGTTGATTGTGCTTTGGAATTTGGTTAAATAGTTTAAATACTTCAGTTTTATCATAACAGTGATAGATATCAACTGGGTTCAAAAGGGCATAGAAAAAGATTCTTTCTTTGTGGTATATTAGTCTAGTCTTGATTTTGACTGTGACTTGGTGAGTGGTATTATCCTTTAGTCCAGCTATTTTTCTGTTAAACACTGATTTTTTGGAGGAAATTCTTGAAAAAGATTTCAACTTTTTGTAAATTAATTAGGCAGTCCGCAGTCATATTCCTAGTAAGTGTTTATAGTTTGTATTTTCAGCTGATTTTGTTTGAATTAGGCAATTCAATTCTTCTTTTGTTTCTTTTTCTATTACAGTTTTATGTAGATTGTGTTTTGGAATTTTGGTTAAATTGTTTAAAAACTTCAGTTTTATCTCAACAGTGAAAGATATCAACTGGGNGAGGATGGAGGGAGGTGTGAGTCTTTTCTGCTGGCTAACTGAATTTTAATGAATATTGAGGTGTTATATAGCCAACTCCAACTAGTTTGGAATAGAGGCATAGTAGTGGTAGTTATGGTTTGTTTTGTGTGGCATTTGATGCAAGTTAGATGAGTATTGCTTGTCTTATGTTTCAGGAGTGCGAAGAATTATAAAATGGCGGCAGGAGCTGTTCCAACTTCATTTACAGGCCTGAAGAGCAGGGAAAATGGTGTGGGGTTTGCTAAAAGTTTGGACTTTGTAAGAGTTTCTGACTTACAGAGGGTTAAGTTTCGACGAACCAAGGTTTCTGTGATAAGAAATGCAAATCCTGGTCCAGAAACCATTGAACTTCAGCCTGCGTCCGAAGGGAGTCCACTACTAGGTATTTTTATAAGGCACTAGAAAGCTTCTAGTTGCTTTGTTCTTAAACAGTTTGGAACTTGGTCTATAATAAATTTTAGCTTTCAAGGATTTGAATGTTTTATGAAGCTGCAAAACTACTCGAAGGAAAAACAAAGGAGAGATTATTTTATATTGTACAAATCGTTGAGGGTTGGAACGTGTCATAAAAACTGATTTGGAATAAGTTTGTAGCAACTTCTCTTAGATGTTCGACGAGTGAATCATACTGTGCCAATAATGTATCATGGATGCTACTTGTAGGGATTTTAGATTTGGAAATTTGATATCTTTTTTCTTTTTATTTTGTCATCCTACAAAAAACTTCATTTTATATTATGAGTGAAGTAACACATTTGTTGTATTCACTCTCTGATGACTGATGTATCACCCCTTGATAAAAGTTCCCAGGCAAAAGTACTGTGAATCCATACACAAAACTGTCAGAAGAAAGACGTGCACGGTGATGGTTGGGAACGTGGCCATTGGTAGCGAACATCCAATCAGAATTCAGACAATGACTACAACTGATACTAAAGATGTTGCTGCAACAGTAGAACAGGTTCTCCTTCTACTTCACGATTTAAGCGAGTTAGAAGTGGCATCTACTCGTAACTGTGTTTGCTGTGGTATTTATGTTAATCCTTGTTGAATCTGAGTTTCCTTCTTTGTGTATCATAAGGTAATAATGTTTCTGTGCAATAGTAAGTTAATGGTCTAGGTTTGATTTGAATCAATCATTCGAATAGTGTTTTACTCTTGCCATCTAATTCTGAGGAGCTTTTCAAGAGTCCGGTAATATATAGAACCTCATTAAATTTTCGAGAGTCTGCTCTGAAAATTCTCCCGCATCCGAGTTTGGAATTTATTATCAAGCTTTCTACTTGAATCAACCGAACCATTTCCCAGTCCATGAGGCAATTTTTTGGTTTTGAATTGAATAATAATATTCATGTTGTATCTGAACAGGATACCTCTTCAATGCACATGAAAATTTTAAGCCAAGAAAGTTTAGCGCTGATGCTAACTCCTGTTTACACAGGTGATGAAAATAGCTGATGCAGGAGCTGACATAGTTCGAATTACAGTCCAAGGGAAGAAAGAAGCTGATGCATGTTTCGAGATTAAAAATTCTCTGGTGCAAAAGAAGTAGGTCTTAATTTTTATCGATATATCTCAAGATTTGATGGACTTGATGACATATCTTATTTCATCTGTGTTCTGCATATGCAGTTATAACATCCCTCTGGTGGCTGACATTCATTTTGCTCCTCCTATTGCACTTCGAGTTGCGGAGTGCTTTGAAAAAATACGTGTCAATCCTGGAAACTTTGGTATTTCTTCCTCTGTCTACGTGATGGTCTTTTTTGGCAGAGCCAGGAGAATAGCTATGATCTAATCGGTTAATTTCTTTCAGCTGACAGGCGAGCCCAGTTTGAGCAATTAGAGTACACAGAAGAAGACTACCAGAAAGAACTTGAGCATATTGAGGAGGTCAGACTATGCCATACTAGTATAAGAACTACTATATTTTTTGATTTCTAATACATGTAAAGATAATTATTAACCTTTCTATCAATAGTATTTGATAAGCAGCAACATGGTATGAAGTGCTCGTCCTGCAAGTTAGGATGTCTTTTATTTATGTAGTAGTTATTTTCAGTTGATTTTCCCCTTTTTTTCTCCTATAAGGTATGAATCTTATTGATTTAACTATAAGATCCTTTTTATGCACTGTTGAGCAAAAAATAAATATGTGTTCAATATGCTAGCACGGATAACTTTAAACAAGAATTGCTTCTCAAGCTGACGCTGGGTCTATAATAATCCTATATTGGATAATCTGCCTGCTCATTATTCTCGTTTAGCAAGGAATTTTCCCTTTTATTACGGGAGCATATTCTTGGACAAAATTTAGTCCTCCATTATGAAGCCCAGCCAGTCTATCTCTTTGCTGAGTCTAATCCATTTTTGCTTTGAAATGGTTCAGGTTTTTACACCATTGGTGGAAAAATGTAAAAAGTACGGACGTGCAATACGTATTGGAACTAACCACGGGAGCCTTTCAGATCGAATTATGAGCTATTATGGGGACTCACCTAGGGGAATGGTGAGCAGTAACTGAATTACTTATCTAGAATATTCTGTTCTAGTCATTGTTGTTGTATTCTTTAATTACTTTGTATCATCTAAATGTGTTAACAGGTTGAATCAGCATTTGAGTTTGCAAGAATTTGTCGAAAGTTGGACTTCCACAATTTCGTCTTCTCAATGAAAGCTAGCAATCCAGTAGTCATGGTTCAGGCGTATCGTCTTCTTGTAGCTGAGATGTATGTTCAGGGATGGGATTATCCTTTACACTTGGGAGTTACTGAAGCTGGTGAAGGTGAGGATGGAAGGATGAAGTCTGCAATCGGTATTGGCACACTTCTTCAGGTACACTTTTGGAATTCCGGATGAGTAACAGTAAAAGCTGAGCATCTTGTTGAAAGTAACATCTTTATTCTTTTGGTTCCAGCTTCATTTAGACAAGTTTTCTAGGTACACCAGATATTTTTGTACTCACTGATACATATTCATTGATTCAAGCAATAAGGTATTTACTGTCAAAAGGAAATAAAGCAAGAATATATTTGTTATATTATGCTAATCAGAAGACGTAATTAAGCTAGAAGCTAGAATCTGCTCAATTAGAGCGGCTTCAAAAATATGTACTTGTGATTTATCACATTGGAATTTTAAAAGCTAAAGTGTGTTCATGCGAGCAAATTACTACGATAAGGTAATCTAGTCTCATACAAGCATCCTCATTTTCTTGAAATGCTTGCTGTGGCTTTATCATCATAAATGTATTGCTCGACTCTCTAAAGAAGAAAAGTTTCTATTCATGCAGGATGGTCTGGGTGATACAATAAGGGTTTCCCTAACTGAACCTCCAGAGGAGGAGATAGATCCCTGTCGACGATTGGCAAACCTTGGAAAGAGAGCAGCTGAGCTTCAACAAGGAGTGGTAGTGTTTTCATCACACATTATTGCTTATGAGTGTGCTTTAAGACCTTAAGTTTTGACAATGTAGTAAAATTTCTACTTCCTTTATCAGGCCCCTTTTGAAGAAAAGAACAGACGTTATTTTGACTTTCAACGTCGGTCAGGGGAATTGCCAGCTCAAAAGGAGGTCAGTTTTAAAACCTGAGCGGATTTGCTATATGAGGCTGCATTTTGTGAAGCAAACAAATGTTTTGATTTTTATAACAGGGTGATGAAGTAGACTACAGAGGGGTGTTGCATCGAGATGGTTCTGTTCTCATGTCTGTTTCTTTGGATCAATTGAAGGTCTTATCTAGCACTTCTCTAAGAATAACTTGTAATATATGATTCTACTAATCGATTTTATTACATGCTAATTTTTGTGAATTTTCTAGCCACAATTGTTTTCTTTATTTTATCTTCCCTGAAAAATAGCCTCATACTTTGGTTTTGCAGACCCCTGAACTTCTGTACAGATCATTAGCGGCAAAGCTTGTCGTTGGCATGCCATTTAAGGTCTAATTCTACTGTTTTCATTGCACTGTGTACTAGAACCAATTCTTCTCTAGATGTGCACTGTCTTTGTGCTAAATTATAATCAGCGTCAATTCAGGATCTGGCAACTGTGGACTCAATCCTGTTGAGGGAACTTCCACCAGTAGATGATAAAGATTCTGTAAGGACCCTTATGTGTTCTATGTAGTAATTTAAGTATCTAAGTTATTTTTGATGATGCTCGGACTAATATGTGAAATTTAGCATTTCTACTGCAGATTATTTTGCTCGATCCCTTTTGTTTATTGAAACTGTGAGAATGACTTGATTGTGTTTATTGCACCATGAACAGCGCCTAGCTCTCAAAAGATTGGTTGACATAAGCATGGGAGTCATTACTCCTCTGTCGGAGCAATTGACAAAGCCGTTATCTAATGCCATGGTATTGGTTACTCTGAAGGAGTTATCTGGTGGTGCTCAAAAGCTTCTTCCAGAAGGTGTGAGGATCATAATAGTTTTTTAAGTTCTTTGAATTAATCATATTCCAAAAGTTTAGTAATCAGGCTAGACTGGGAACCTTCTTCAGGTACAAGATTGGTTGTGTATGTGCGTGGTGATGAATCAAAAGATGAGTTGGAAATCCTAAAGAGCACTGATGTTACTATGATTCTTCATAATCTCCCATATACAGAAGAAAAAATTGGCAGAGTTCATGCAGCCAGGAGGTATGTTGCATTTGTATCGAAAATAATCAAGTTCTCTTTTGGTAAAGTGGTTACCACTTACCAGTTATCCTTGATGGGGCCTAATCAATATGACATACATGTACTTACGTATCTTACTTGTATAAGCTTTCTTAAAGGCAGACATTACGAGAGGAAACATACTTAGCCGCTGCATTTTCATGTCTCTAATTTTTTGACTCTGATAACCTGAAAATATCTGCTGTTGCAGGCTTTTTGAGTATCTCTCTGAAAATTCATTGAACTTTCCCGTAATTCATCACATACACTTTCCCAGTGATACCCACAGGTATGGTAAATCAGACATGACTTACCTACAATCAGATATGTGGAGGTTATTTAGAATTTAGCTTATGAAAATTTCAACATGACAGGGATGATTTAGTGATTGGTGCCGGGGCAAATGCAGGAGCTCTTCTAGTAGATGGGCTCGGAGATGGTATTCTCTTGGAAGCTCCAGATCAGGATTTTGATTTTCTCAGAAATACATCTTTCAATTTGCTTCAAGGTTGCAGAATGCGGAACACTAAAACGGTAATGGGAAGTGAAAATATAAAGCAACAATCTGAACCAATTTATAGTAACATGATTTATTTCCATATTACCCTTTCAGGAGTACGTATCATGCCCATCGTGTGGCAGAACTTTATTTGATCTTCAAGAGATAAGTGCTCAAATAAGGGAGAAGACGTCACACTTGCCCGGTGTTTCAGTAATTACGCGACCCTAATGCTTACTGTCATTGGATTTCTTAAGTTTCTTAGTATATTAATGAAATGGCTTGTGTTGTGTCGTCACTTTCCTTTTCAGATTGCCATCATGGGTTGCATTGTGAATGGACCTGGGGAGATGGCTGATGCTGACTTTGGATATGTTGGTGGTGCTCCTGGGAAGATTGACCTTTACGTCGGCAAGGTACCAAGCTTTGATTTCCCTTATTTTATTAATGCTCTTCACAACTAAGAACTTCATTGCGAGTAACCTAGTAAGATGCATCTGGCTTGCACTATTCATATAATGTTAGAACAGAAAGAAAATTTAAGACAAAAATGTCTTGAAGTACAAAAAGTGCGAGGGGACAATGCCTCTTCAGCCAACATACTGGCCTAAAAGATAATCAAAACTAGATGCACATAGTCTACAAGGTTGTTATTATCCCCCAACTGAAAATACCTACATAGCAATTAGTCTCCTATAATCCATGTTGCTCGGACTCTCCGAGAATGTGTCGGATCCTACAAAAGTAGTGTATTTTGGAGAGTCCGGGCAACATAGCCTATGATTCCTTAAATGCATTGGTAGTATCACCACTAGCAAGAAGCAAAACAAATCTATGAGCCACTGTGCATGGTCAGATTATTAATGAAATACAATATAAAGAAAACCAAAACAAAATTTGCTAGCTTTCAAATTTTGTACTACTTGTGACTAATATGTTTCAATAACTGGTAAACTAAATTTCTACCAGACGGTGGTAAAACGCGGTATTCAAATGGAGCATGCAACAGATGCCTTGATCCAGCTAATTAAAGATAACGGTCGTTGGGTGGATCCTCCTAAGGAGGAGTAAGATCAACTGGAAGAGTTTGACAGATGGAACTGGGAGGGAGGGAGGGAGGTCAAGATACAGTTGCATTGTAAATGCAGATTCTAGCACCTGATAATAATACAGCATTAGCCAACTCCAGAGAGCTGCCATTTCCAAGCAGCTGAGATGTAGCTTTTATGTTGTAGAATCTAGTACATGCATGCAAATGCAGAATATGATTATTCATGTATTGATCAATTCTAGTTACCAGTCCCCTTCTTGGGAATCTAGTAATAGGCTATATCATCGTTCATTGTTGACCAATCTACATAGTGAGGGCAGCACGGTGCACGAAGCATCCCGCATGGTCAAGGGAAGGGCCGCACCCTAAGGGGTGTACTGTAGACAGTCTACCCTAATACAAGCATTAGTGACTGTTTCCACGGTTCGAACCCGTGACCTATAGGTTACATGGAGATAACTTTTACTGTTACTCTAACGCTCCTCTCCAACCAATCTCCATAGTATGGATAACAAATGAGTTTTAAGTTTTATTCGCAAGAATCTATATACAAAATCAGCTAGAGTGAGTGTCTATGCCAATCATGGTAGCTTGAACAATATGGTAGTTAACATGTTGTAATTGGTCAGTTACATAACATGTTGTAATTGGTCAGTTACATTAATATGCAAATATCTTATATGGTCAGTGGATAAACTTACATTTATATATAAAAAAATTATCATCTGTTGTCTTTTAGTCATAGTTTTCATTTTCTAAAAGCAAATTTTCCGGTGGGTTGCACAGTATAAATATTATATCTTCTAAACACAAGTCAATTAATTTTTCACACATTTTTTGTAAAAGTTAATTAATTTAAATCATTTACTATGATAAGCAAATAAAATATTCAACGATATCTAAAAATGATCTGCTAAACAAAAATGATAAACTTCAACAAAAACAGATTAAGTATGGGAATTAGCTAATTGGGGCAATCCCTTTGTGTAAGATATACTACTTATTATGTGCACACTTCTCTCTTTCTTTTTGATTAAGCATTAGAAAGATATTGCATATTAAGTAAAGATCAACATCCTCTAATTGGTGTATACATACATTATATGAGATTTAAACATTAAGAAATCTACTTTTAACTGCACGACTCTTCCTTCAGATCTGAGTTGGCTCAAACAAAAAATTCAGTATAGACAAAACTGTGATGCCTATTCGATTCCACATGCTTATTAATTGTACTTTGGCCCATGTTAATTACATATATATAATGATCTGTCAAGCTAGAAAATATTTCAAGGGTGTTCAAATTTGTACAAGAAAAATAAAAATTGTGGAGAGTGAAGCTCGAACCCGCGCCCATGAGGCCCTCTTGACCACCCTTTGCCACTGAGCTATGAATCTTCATTGTTGCAAGAGTATTTAATATGTATTAAATGTATGTAAATCCATAATTTTACCTATTTACACAATGTTAATTTTACGACGAAGGGTGGTCAAACACTGTAGCTTCGCACTCATCTGCATGCTTGGCAAATGGCAACTGTCAATAAGGCACTTGGTAATTTGGTATTTACCCTGGAACAAATCTGTACGAGAAACTTCTTTCTGAATCTATATCAGGTTTAGGCAAGTTAGAGGGATTATAAAATACTTAAAGAATGGAGATTTTAGAAAACTGTATATTTGCATTAAAACATTCATTAAATATGAACAAATATGAAATTTAGAACGTAATTAACTTGTGATCTTAAACATATCATAAGATTATTTTTTAAATATACCATAATATTATGTATAGCTGCTGAAGTTTTTTCATTAAAGATAAAATAAAAATTTAAAGTAAATTATTTACACATAATAGGAAATGAGGTCATGGATTGGAACATAAACAAAATCGGGGGGAGTATATAAAGAGAGTCAATATTTGCTCAAAGAAGTCAAAGAATTAAAGTTCAAATTTTCAACTTTTCCCAACAAACGCCTTCAATGAACAGATTCCAGAAGAATACGTTAAAAGTTTATACGGAGCTAAATGCAACGCTTCCTTTATTCTAGAGTATTAGTGTTTGTCTCCTTTTAAATATACCATTGTATTAAACAGGGATTAGAAAAACAAAACTTTATGATTCATGATTCAAAAATAGTAAAATTGAATTGTATGTAATAGTAACAGCAGAAAGCGCAAATAATCAAACTAAAATTTCCCAACAATTAGTCGATAACCAATAATCGAGAATCAAAATTTCTAAAAAATAAAGAAACTCAAAAAGGACTCTTATTCAGTGAATAAAGAATCAAAAAAATATAGTAATGCTAATGAAATTCTCCTCCAAACTCCCGAATGCTACAAATCTATTCATGAATATAAACACAATATTACGTATAGCAATGTGATATATACTATGAAGGATGCAATTACTCAAAGAAAGTCTGATCTCCTGGCAGCGTAACCGAACTGTGCTCGTCGGATATTCTGCCTACGCTTCTTGTAAACCAATGCACCCAGACCTACAACACACGCCGCCGCGATCACTCCGATTGCTACTCCTGCCTTCTTCCCGCCGTTCATTCCATCGCCAGACGACGACTCATTCGCCTCCGCAGTACTCTCGTGGCTTATATCACTCGCAACTACGTCACTCGGTGCCGGAGCAGGAGAAGGAGACGGAGATTCATTCGACGTAGCATCGTCGTCGGCTTCGCCTGGGGATGGCGCCGGAGCAGAATCAGGAGAGCGATCTGTTGGCGGAGGCGATGGAGGAGAACTGATCACATCTGCTAAAGGTGACGGTGCTGGACTTTCAGGAGCCGCAGAGGTTGGCGGTGGAGAAACTACATCTCCGCCGGCTTCCGGTGCCGGACTCGGCGAACTTTCTGGCGTATCTGCACAAATACAGTGTTGTATAGACAAAACCGCAAAGAGAAGCGTGACAGAGAGTACGCGAAGCGTCGCCATTGCCAATAATTAAAATCGTCGTCCTTTTTCACACTTTTCGAAAGATCTGCAATATCAAAAGTTTGGATAATCAAAGCACAAGTGATTAACAATTTAATGATGCAATAGAAAAATGCAGATCTGGAGATAAATAGAGGCAGTTAGTGTGAAATTGAAGTTGTAAGGCTGCAAACTGCGAAGAGTAAAATGAAGTTAAAGGCGGTTGACAAAAGCATGTTACTTACTTGCTTTCGTGGCCGCGTAGAGAGAGAAAGAGAAAAAGGAAGAGAGAGAGAGAGTCTGTGTACCTATAGAAGCGTGAAGAGAACGTGAATGAGATTGACGAAGACGGCGGATCCGGTATAACTTATGACTAAATTAAGGGAAGGTTCTGGACTTTGTTGGTTGCGTGAATATGAATGAGAGAGAAGTGGAGATGACCTTCGTTCCTTTGTTTGTTTGTTCAGAAAGCGTTTGCTTAAAATAGGACGTACAGATGTTGAATTTAATTTGTCTAGTACTTTAAACTAAAGGTCCAGCTTAATGAGATGGAAAAGATGAAAGTTAATCCTCTAAATATTGAGATGGCTCGTACAACTAACTTCAACTAGCTTGACATAAAAGTATAATTAACTGTCATTGGACATAATTAAATAATCGGAAAAGGGTCAAAAATGCTTTAACATATTGAAATTGACTCAATTTTACCCTCCTATCATCTATTGGGTCATAAATGATCTTAACGTTATTTTTTGGGCACAAACTTACCCTTATATCTAACAGAAGGACCAACAATACCACTAACGTATTGAAAATGGCTCAGAAATACCCTTCGTTAACCTTTTGGTCCGCAAATGCCCCTAACGTTTGTTTTTGGGTTCAAACTTACCCATATATCTAACATAATTAACTTGGTCAATTTTTTGACTTTAACTTCGCCATGTGACATTTTTTTAATCCGGCACGTGTATTATTTGTATTAAATAAACCCACCTGTATCTTTTAAAATATCCAACGACCCTGACCCGCTCCTATATATTTGGACGGTCGACTAAAAATAATTACATTCGCTAATTAAATATATAAAAAATATACATTGATTATATATATAAAAAAATATATTATACATTAATATTTTAATATATATTATATATGATATTATTTTTAGGAAAAATTATACGGTGTAGTTTTCTCTATTAATTATGATCTATAACTCGAATTTATTAAGCAAATATGACAATGGAACGTCAGTTTTTGCTAATATTTTAGCTCTATCATTATATATTAAAACACTATTAGTTCCCATTGAAAAGATCATGTGAAGTCCATTAATGTGCTAAGCAGTTGGATATGTATATAATTAAAGGTTTTAAATAGTTCCTTTCCATCTGTTTCTTAGCTTCTCCTTTAGAATCATATAAATAGAACACTATCATTTTTATGTTTGCAAATTAAAATTTGTATTTGTTAAAACTTGGTAAGATTTACAAAAATTTGAAGGAAAAACTACACCGTATAATTTCTCCTAAAAATAATATCATGTAAAATATATATTAAAATATTAATGTATAATATACATATTTTATATATAATTAATTTATATTTTTTATATATTTAACTAGCGAATGTAATTATTTTTAGCTAACCGTCCAAATATATAGGAGCGGGTCAAGGTCATTGGGTATTTTAAAAGATATATGTGGGTTTATTTAATACAAATAATACACGTGGCAGATTAAGAAAATGCCATATGGCAAAATTAAAGTCAAAAAATTGATCAGGTTAGTTTTGTTAGATATATATGGGTAAGTTTGAGCCCAAAAACAAACGTTAGGAGCATTTGCAGACCAAAAGGTTAACGAAGGGTATTTCTGAGCCATTTTCAATACGTTAAGGGTATTGTTGGCCCTTCTGTTAGATATAGGGGGTAAGTTTGAGCCCAAAAACTAACGTTAAGGGCATTTATGGTCCAATAGGTGAATGGAGGGCAAAATTAAGCCATTTTCAATATCTTAGGGGCATTTTTGGCCCTTTTCGTTAAATAATTGTGCTTCAGTATTTTTAAATACTGAATTTGAATATTTTGCATGCACTTGTTCGGTCATGAGTATATTAAAAATTCAGTATTTAAATTTCTATTAAAATATTGATGTTGATTTGAAGGTGCATTTCAAGCGAAATATTTATTTTCACTCTGATTACCCGTTAAACAGTACAGTTGAATTTCTATGTGGTTTCTAGACAAGTGAACTAATTTAATCCTGAAATAATACAATAATTGAAGAAATATACAATACTTAGCCTTAAAATGTAGATGAAACAACAGAGATGACAATTCCGGGAACAAGGTTTCCGGGCACAATAATGATGAAATCAAAAAGCGAAAAAGTAAGATTGTATTAAGCTTTGTATAGAATGTAGTGTAAGTTTAGCAAGAAAATTTGTGTCCTTTACAATGATAAATGAGCTCACTATTTATAGTTGTGTCTAGGAAAGGAGGTCCTAGGATCATGCCCTCCTTTCATGTCAATTATGAGGGTCATTGATAAACATGTAATGGCGAGCATAAATGCCAAATTCTCTGTAACGGGTCGTCGCTCTTAATGCTGCAGAATATTTCTTATTAAATGCTACCGGGCGCAGAACATTTAATACAATTTTATGAACGTTATCCCTTCCGGTGACAAGTGCAATAGCTGCGTTCGGCCTTCGGCCATTCCCGTCTTGGGTTTCACGTGTCTTTCCCTTAGATGACCACGTGTCATATCATATTTTACCCTATACAGATAGTCCCCCTGCTTTTCGGTGACATAACTTTGTATTACCGGAAAGTTGGTAGAAATACTTTTTTGGCGGGAATTACTATAACTCCCTCTGAAGGCTTCTGATGGTTGATTAGACGCACGTCTCTCCGCATTTAATTCTCTGAACACGCGTCATCCCACGATTCAGCACAACCTTTGCCGATTATCGAGGTAATCATGGCCATGAATTTAGCCGCCAAAAGTTTACTTATACGCATCATTCTTTTCCTTTGCACTTCATAATTTCTCGAGCTTCTGATTTGCATCTTTGTTCCCCATCCTTTCTCTAATTCTCTTCAAACAAAAACCTTTTCCTTCTTCTTATTCAATGGCTTCTTCCTCCTAGCGTGCCGGTTCTTCAAAGAACAAGAACAAAGCTGAGGAATCTGCTCCTCCAACGGTGGGTTCCATCATCCCAAGAAGACTCAGTACCATAAAGGATTTTGAAGAGAAATTTTCTACTGCTAACCCTCGTACACGGGCTGTTAATAGGTACCCTTCTTCTGTTCGTCCTTCCAGTATTCTTGTTGTGAATGAAGACTGTCGCTGCCATGAGTTGGATATCATTTCTCCTGATCTATCGGAGCGAGTGATCCTTCCCAATGAAAGTTTTACATACTTTTACACGTATCACTTTACTTTAGGTGTGTTTTCTTTGAGTGGATAACTTGATTTCGTGATTGCGGAGTTTTGCCTTCACTACCAAGTGTGTCTGGTATAGGTAAGTCCTTCAGTATGGAGGACGGTCGCCTGCCTTCGATGCTTATTCCAGGAGACTGGAGAAGAGCTAACATTAGCTCGTATGATGAATCTCTACTCCCCCAAAATTTTTCGTGGGGGTATGATAAACCTCTGCAAACGTGGTCACCATGCTTTGTTGACTAGCATGGATGATGATAACGACCGTGGGTGGACGGAACGGTTTATTACAGTTGCCACCAATAATATCATTCCGACAATGGCTTCATCTTTTTCGGCCGCTTGGAACCGCACTCGTAAGATCTTTATTTAATATATTTTCTTTCACCAAATATTCTTCTATGGTCGTATCAACTCTTCACCACTCGTATGTTTCAGCAACTTGGCGGATCCCACTGGTGGTGAAAGGCTTGGACCGGTCGGTTCAGAAGAGCTTGGACGTCACGGTGCTCGAAACTCGTTTGTGGAAAGAACTGGTGGAAGGCCCAAAAATCATGGTAATTTTAACTTACCTTGCTTCCATTTTTTTTTATATATGGAGAACTTGGTCGAACCCTTCTGACTTGTTCACGAAATTAGGTCTACCTGCGGGCTCTGTTGATGTCCCTGAGGAGGATGTCTTGGATGATCATGCTGATGCAGCGAGGCTGCTTCAGGAGGTGCTTACTCGAACAAGTGGCTCCGGGCTTGCTTCTAGAACAAATGCTTCTTTACGGAGTCCCTGGGTGGAGGACAAACAACCAAAGAGAAGACGCTTCTCTACAGCTAGGTAAAAGAATAAGAGAGCAAGGACCGATGCCCCCGATTCATCTCCGGTAGCGATGGTGATTGGACCTCCTTCCAAGCCGGTCATAGACCCTGTGACGATTGACGATGATGAAGAAGATAGTGATGAGGGATCTTCTTTACATAGAAGACAACGATCCTCATCATCTCAACAGGATGCTCGACCTATTGAGAGAGTTACACCAACTGAGGACGATGCCTCGGCACTTTGGGGAGAGTTTGATTTGGTAGATAATGTCAACTCCCATTTTCAGGCCCCAATTATTGTGTCTGGTACTGTGGGGCTGAGTACCTGATCCTTGCCGTCTTTGGTTGGCGAGCATCCATCCACCAGCACTGCATTTGATGCAACTATTTCCCACCCTTCGACTCCATCAGCTTCATCTCCACGTTCACCAACACCAGCAACTGCTATATTATTTTCACCTTCATCCACTCTTCTACTAACAACTGCTACATCATCTCCACCGGCCGCACCTGACCATAGAGAGGGTGTTCCTATTCCCCAATCCCCAGTTCATGGGAATTTGGGGCAAAATTATGTTGCCCCTTCTGAAGATCCACAAAGGAGGAGGAACATTACTCTTTCAGTCTCTACCGGATGCAACTTGCTATCCCGACCGGTGGAGCTTACTAATTATCTGAATACTTTGGCTTCAGAGAAAGGGAAAAGATTGAAGCACTCTCGGGGGAGTGTTTGTTTAACAATGCCATGCACAATGCCGCATCGAGGCGTTCCTTTCTTTCTTTGTTATTTCTTATACTTTTGTATGAATGTATTCTAATTTTTACTTCTTCTTGTTTTGCAGGCCAACTTTCTTGCTTCTGAGGGCCTTCAGAGGTTGATTCGTGGGAAGGAGGAACTTACTTTTGAATAGAATCAGCTTTTGGTGGAACGAGACCAAATTATTCTCCGCCTCTCGGAACTGGAAATCAAAGCTACTGAGGTCGTTGTTTTGGAGGCTCATTTGTAGCAAAGCGAGCACGAAATGGTGACCCCTAGCCAAGAAATTGGCCCGCTGAGGGTTAGATTTGATGAAGCCATGGCCAAATGGGCTGAAGTCCAAGACTTCATTCTTGCTGCAACCGAGCGCGAAAGTGACTGACTTAGAAGCAACCTTGAACTCCAAAATCGAAGAGCTTGCTGCTGTGAGGGCGAAACATTCCTAGTTAGAAGAGAAGTACAGGAAA